GTACCTTAATCGTTGTGGGTTTGGTGATGTGATCAAAATCAAATCATACTCTCTCGATGTGAAGTTTATTCTAGCGTTGTTAGAACGCTGGAGACCGGAGACACATACATTTCACCTACCTTTTGGTGAATGTACTGCAACCTCATCGACCACCTTGGGCCAGATGATGTAAGTCATTTACCTTTAATTTGTCTAACTTATATGCATAACCTTGTCTATCTCTGTCTGACTAAATGTATCCACCTTTATTGTAGTTTGTCTGGATGCCATACGAGGGTCTCGACCACCAGCCCGACCCCAATGATGTTGCTGTGTGGACATCAAGAACACCCATAATTAGGTCCAGTACGACGGAGATGCACCAAAGTGACCAGGTGAAGCTACAATTTGGGATGCATCAGGATATTTCAGATGCTCCGGTAGAGTTGGGGCAGTGGCATCAAAAGCGGGTGGACTCGTAGTGGAGTGTCAGTGATTGGAAGGAGTTTGCGAAGGAGTTGTGTAAAGACTAGAAGAGAAGAAGGCAACACGTCTTAACCGACCGTATTGTGCACGGGGCTAGGACAAGTCTTCAATATATGACTTGGTTTAGGTCTGTCACGGCATCTCAGCCATTTCTGTCCCAGCCAACATATTTGGTCAACCCAAGGCAACGCGCTTCTTCGTCCAACACACAACAACAATCCAGTGCCCAAAATCAACCTTACCATAACCCATACATACCCCCAAATGCCCCCCATCAACCACCATACCATGACCCATACATGCAACCCACCCAGTCCCAGCCTCAACCACTATACCATTATAGCCCTGATACGTCTTTTGAGCCTACCCCCTCCGCCTATAGCCCAGACAACTCATTTGACCCTACCCCCTCCAACAATCCACTGTTTGACTACCACACACCACAACAACCAACACACCATTTCCAACCCAACTCGATGTACCAATTCGAACAACTATACAATCCACATTCCACCCAACCTCCCAGACCATCCTATGAAAACATGGACATTGGGGTAAACTACAGAAGCGCCGTTGATAGTGGACCTCCCGGCTATTGGGGTCAAATACTGCAAAATCTATCTGATACGCCGGGGCCGTCCCAACCATACCCTCCTCCACAACTCAACACACAAAGACCAGATACACCACAACAACCTCGTCGTAGACCTCGTCGCAACGCGCATCCCCCGCAATGTGGCACCGGTGGTCACTTGGATAGAGCCGACCATTAGTTTTTTTTTTGTTGTTGTAATTTTCATTATATTGTAAATTAATATATTTTAATATTTTTTACATTTCTATATTATTTTAATGTTGCATAAATTTTAATATTTATTAATATGTTATTTAAATATTTACATAAATTAAAACATTTAATCAATGTATTTAATATTTTTTTTATAGAAAATATTAATAAAACAATAATTAAAATTGGAAATTAAAAAAACAAAAAAATGGAAACCCTAATCACAACTAATTCGCCAATCCAGCTGATGATATTGTTTCAGGTTCTTCCCTGTCGCCAATGTGAATGGCGATATCATGCAACACCAAAAAACCATTACAACATTGTCGTCATTTAATCCGGCGACAGTCTATTGAATTAGTACCACTTTCGTTAATCTTTTGAATATTTTATTTTTTTTGGTAAATAGTAACCAATACATAGTTAATTTAAAAAAAAAATCCAATTTTTGAAACAACTGTTAATTGAGTTGATTTTGATGGAAATATAATTTAATAAGTGAGATAATTCAATTACTATATGCTGTTATATTTCTATATGTTAGTTGAGTTAAATAAATATATGTTTCTAATTCAAGATAAACTTATGAATTGTTTACGATAGTTTTGATATAAACAAGTTGTTGATTTTGATGGTAATATAATTTGTAATACTTAAACATCTTTATTAATTATAATTAATAGAATAGCTAGTTAAATTAAAATAAAATAAATAAATATTATTTGAATAAGAATAGTATTTTTAAAATAATAATAACTTTATAATAAGTCATATTTTAAATTTGACACTTTAAATGAGATGTCTAATAGGAGTGGTAAAACGGGTTGCCTGTCCTGTTTCGTCTTAAATTTTTTAAAAAAGAGGGTGAAGTGGACAAATCTGTCAAGTAAAAATGAGTTTAAAAATCTAATCCACCCTATTAAGGTGGCAGGATGATGGGCGGACGGACTTGCCCACCTATTTATTTATTTATTTTTTATTTTTTAATAGATTAATAGATTTATTTTTAAATTTCAATTAGATTTTTTACTTATTTTTTTAATTTTTTTTTATAAAACATTTTTTTAAACAAAATTTATTTAAAAGAATATTACATATATTCACAAATAAATGTATAAAATAAAATCATTAACAAGTATTCTAAAATATACCACCTTTTTTTTCCGGATTTAAAGCAGAGCAGAATTAAAGCGGAGCATATTAGATATATAGACGAACACAAAATCCCAACCCAACCTGTCATTTTTTGACGGATGTGCAGGTTAATCCGACAGATCACGGTCCATTTTACCACCACTAACACTAATGTCTAGTCTCTAGAGTACCTAGTATGCAAAAATGATTTGACCAAAAAATAAATTTAATAATAAAATGTCTAATTATTTTATTTTCTATACACTTACATATTAAAAAAATTTAAAATAAAGAAAGTACTAAAGCGTTAAATAATTGACTTTGAATCCAACTCAACCCCATTTAAAAAAAAATAGATGTCTAATTTTTCATTTCAGTTAAAAGATTAGAGAAAAAAACGAGTGTTATTTAAAAATTTGAATTTAAATTTTGAGAGGTAAAAATTGTCTTAACTCCACCTTATTATCATACATAATGGCGGAAAACATTCAACCTATAACATGTTAATAATAAATAAATAAAAAATATTGTAAAAATATTATATTTAATAATTTGCCTTAGCCAATTTTTTTTCATTTATATTATAAACAATAAATTATTAATATTTTTACAAAAGAATCTAATTGTTAATGACTATGACAAATAAAATCATGTTAAGAATTTTTATAAGAAAGTTATGAGATTTTTACTATATTAAAATATTTTGTATTAATACCAAACGTTAGTCATTCTTTTAATTTATATCAAATAGGTTAGAAATAATTTCTATTATTTTAAAATAAATTTTCCTAAAGATCATCATTAAATATATAAATAAAATTATTTTCGTATCAATAACAAAAAAAAAATTATATCTCATTTTCCATTTTATATATAAATGAAAAGAAATATATATATTTACAATAAATTAAGAAAAAAATATGATACTATCTTTTCGAAACCTTGACATTTTTTTACAGTTTTTTAAAAATTGAATCATAATTTATTTATTTTGAGGAAACAAGTATGCATAATTTATATATAATTATTACCTTCTCTATTTTTATATATACATTTTAAAAAAACTTTTTTATTTTAATTTATAAGATTTTATTGAATTTTTTTTAATATATTTAATAATTCTATACAAATATATTTCTAAAAAATATTTATTTTACATCTTTTTTGGCATATAACAACAAATAAACCTGAAGAAATATAAATTATTCTCCTTTTTTAAAATAGTATTGATTATTAGTTCTCTTATTTTTTATAATTCATTTTAGAATGATTTTTTAAAAAATCATTTTAGGATACCAACAAATCATTAATAATATTTTTGTTATTATATATTTTAACATTTATTATTATTATTTTTTAATTTTTTAAATTTATCTTTTTCATATCGTTATTGAAAGAGAAGTTTGTAAAATCTTTTATAATATCTCATTTTCATACTATAATAATCATATATTTGTTCATACAAATAAAATTGTTAAAATGATTTATAATAAAAAATATTTATTAATATGAAAAATATTCTATATTTATAATTATATGTAGTATTATATTATCCCTTTTAAAAAATTACTAATATTAATAAAATATATATTTGGAAAAATATATTAAAATTTTTTAAACGAATTATACAATCAAAGAAAAATATCATTTTTTTTTCTAATTAAAGATAAAAAAATTAAAAAAAAATCTTTTTGCATTTGAATTCATTTTTTCGAAAATAAAAAATCAAATTACATCATCTTGCAAAACTATAAAGTAAAATAAATAAAAAAAAAAAAAAGATATTTGGAAAAGAAAGAAAAAAAGTCCAGAATGAGTGAATTGTAGAGGATTGTCCGAATTTGTTTCGTTTCCAATTCCAAAATTTCCATTTCCCGAAATTCATTTCAAGAGAGAGAGAGAGAGAAATTGCATACAGACAGACACATAGAGAGAGACACACACGGTCGCCGCTATTGTTATTGTTTTCATTCGAACTTCAGCACCAGCAGCTTCACCAACAAAACTCTCTCTCTCTCTCTCTCTCTCTCTCTCCTCCACCCTCTATCCATGGTATTCAATTCTTCAATGCTCATTTCATCTTTTTTATTTTATTGTTCCGTGTGTGCCTCTTGTTATTCATTCGAATGGTAAAGTTTTCATTTTTGATTCTCATCATCTACTTTATTGCTACTTTTTTTAATCATATTTTGTTTTTTTCTATCAATTTTAGGACTGTTTTTCAAACTTCTGTTACTTTTTTGAATGAAGTTTTGTTTTTTTGTATGAATTTTAGGAGTATGTAACAAACCTTGTTTAGGGAGAAATTTTCATTCTGAAGCTTTGGTAGAGATAAATGGAAGTTAAGATAATCAATGAATGAATGAATGGATGAATGATGGATATTGGTGTCTTTCTCATGATTATTATGCTTCAATTTTCTGAGTTTATGTCATAGAGATTTATCTAAGGTTATGTTGATTTTCAATTTCTGTTATTGATTAGGGAAAAGTTTTAGTTGTGATATTAAATATTAATGTATTGATTTTGTTTTATCAGATTGGAATTAGGAGTTGGATTGCTGCTGATTTTGAGCAACAGAACCAATTCAATTGAATGCTGTTGTGGAGCTGGTATGACAGAAACTTATTTTCGGGGATCTGGTCGTATTGCGAAGAAGTTGAAACCGCGGTTGTCGGATTCGGTACCTCAAGATAAGGTTAATAATGAGGCGGTGGAATGCGGAGACAAGTTTGATGAAATGCCTGATTGTGTTGTTCTTCATATTTTGTCGTTTATGGAAACAAAGGATGCTGTCCGGACTTGTGTTTTGTCGAAAAGGTGGACGAATCTTTGGACTTCAATTCCGTGTTTGAATTTCAACAGTAAGTCGTTCGCACGGTTGGCTGATTTCAAGAAATTTGTCATGTGGGTCCTTTTCCGCCGTGATTCATCTGTTGTGAAAGTTCTTACGTATTGCCGTGCTGGAGTAGAATATGCTACGGATCAGAACCTTTTTAATAAGGTCATTGATCACGCAACATCACATGGCGTTGAAGAAATCGTAGTCAATCTTCGGGCAAAAGCCGTTGGCAGCCCGCCCGTTGACATCCCTCTGTCGTTGTTGAAGTGCAAAACCTTGAAAAGGCTTGAGTTAAAAGATTGTCATCCTACAAAACCCGAATTGCCTCTAACTTGCATACCGGTGAGAAAGCTGTTGCATTTGGAACATTTTACGATGGATACAACTGATATTTCAAATTCATTTGCTAGTTTAGCAAACCTTTTTGGTTTTGCAACATTGACGACTTTGAATCTAAGCAACTTGACTCTGTGTTGCACGGAAAACGAATCCCTAAATCCATTTGAAAATTGTGTCAATTTGAAGAATCTGCATTTGAGAGAAATTTGCTTTAAGTCGGATTTGGCCCCTAAGGATTTCGTGATATCTGCGCCCCAACTCAATAACATGACTATAATGTGCACCCGTTTCAAGTGTAAACTCGTTGTTTCCGCACCAAAGCTTATCAATTTCAGCTACTTATATGCTTCTTCTTGTGCCTTCTTTGAATTTAGTATGCCTTCTGTCGATGCCTTGATCATTGATATCCGCGAACCAAATTATCAAATGAAAGAACCTCATCAGAGGCCGGGAGAAAAGAGTTCACATGGTTTGATCAATATGTTCCGGGAACATCATAATGCCGAACTCTCCTTCTCTACAGCTATGGTATAAAACAAATTGTGTTTCTGTTTTGAATTGTTTTTCGTAAAACGTAGTTTTGCTACCTTAACGCTTAATTGTTTCTAACCCGTATGTTTTCAGGTTTCATGTGGCACTACCGTTATCATGCCAAAGGAAGAATGTTCATCTTTTAACGAATGGAAGTCGGTAAATTTACGAGTCGGATCAACATACAAAATCTTCATCAACAACCTTGACCATATAACTGCATATTTCCGCAGTTGCTCTAAGCGTGACGACTTTGAGATTTTGACGATTTAGAAGGTATTCACATATCTTTAAATCCTTTTACATTATGTTTATCTTTTATTACAGTAAATATTAGTTTTTGGAACTTAAGAGCCGCTATAGCGGTGCCATACTGCCATTGCATAGTGTAATTTTAGGAAAATAGCGCCATACTGCCATTGCATAGTGGAATTTTAACAATATGCTATTTTCCGCTATCCGCAATTGACAACACTGATACTACTGAACATGTAGGATTGATGATTTTTACTGATTGATTGAAACGAAGCGAAATATGAAAATCAAGTGCATATTTGGTATCATGGCAAGTTTGTCAAAATCGCGCCGCAATTTTTCGTTGTTTTTTCAAACTGTCACTCCTTTTTATTGTTTTTGTTAAGTTAAATTTCAAAGTTCTTGTTTTGTGATACATGATATTCTATATGTTATTTCTCTTGTATAAAGTAAGATTTGAATGAACCATTATGATAATTATATGAATTTCCTTATCATTATTAGTATTCATCCTATTTTCATCTACTGTTATTTTTTCCAGTATTGATATAGATTTCAATATATTTTTTTCCCCTTTTTTATGATCTAGTTGAAGGAGATTCTGGAGAGGAGATTCGGTGTACAAGTCGAACAAGGACGAGTGAGTTCTTGGCTGTATTTTGCATGGGGAAGGATTTGAATATACGCCAAATATTTGGCAAAATTTATAGAATTAGAAACAATGAAATATAAATTTTTATACATTTTGGCCTAAAAATATTGGTTATTTGGTTATTTTTTATGAAATTTATTTCTTTTGGCAAAGGGATGTGAAAATTTGTGGAGTATAAGTTTCATTATTATGTCAATGGTATCATAAAAATTTCTTACAAGAAGAAATTGTGCATTTATTTAATAATGGAAACATGCTTAATTGCAGGGGGTTTGTAGGACGAATTTCTCTAAAAGTATGTTTTGACAAAAAATATTTTGGCAGGTTTGAATATAAACATAATGTATTTTTTCAATAATTATGTTCTGTTTTTTAATAATCCCAGGGTTCAAAACTGATTTTGTACTGCTAGTCATTTGTCGGATAACTCTTAATGACAGAAAATGGATCAAGATGCATTGAAATTGGTGAGTGAAAATAGATGATTTGGTTATCATGTGGAATTGTGAGTGCATCTTCACTTGAGTGTACAACCAGAAGGTCTAAGATTTTGCTTGGAATTATGTTACTTAGGGGAGTTTTCAAAACTTACAAGGTTGAATAAAGTTTTGCATCTTTTGCATATAAGAGATGATTTCTATGATCTGGTATAAGATTATGAGTTGAGTGGGGATGCTTTTACTTCTCCCACGTTCAACTTTAGGGGTTTTTGAGGTTTTTTTAGGGGTTTGATAAGGGGAAGAAGACTCGTTTAAGTGTGATTTCGATGTGAGTTTAGTGGTCTGGATCATTTGAAAAATGCATGATAAAGTTATTTTTTTGTTAGGAAAGATTGTTGGTTAATCATTTGGAGAACTCAAGTATTTATTTAATTTGGAAGTGAGTTCATTCTTATGCTCCAATTTCTAGTTTTTCCTTCCTAGACTCAGGGTGTGGCCAGCCTTGGTGCGATCGGTTTTAGAGGTGTGTTATGTGGTCAACTGCACTCTTTTGTTTTTTTTACTGGTGGTTGTGTTTACCTCGCTTCATCGGTCTTTCCATGGAAGTTGTTTTACTTCTGTCTCAGTGTAGTCGCTTCATCGGTCTTTCCATGGAAGTTGTTTTACTTCTGTCTCAGTGTAGGTTGGTTTTTGTTTGGTGGTTTTGGTGCTGTTTGTAACATGTTTTTTCTTTGACCTTTTGTTTTAGCTGGTTTGTGTTTGGTTTTGAGCATCTCTTGTGTTATTTGTTTGTATCTTGTACTATTGTCCAATTTCATTTTAATACATTCTTATCTCTTTGCTATTAAAAAAAATAGAGTGATTCACTTTTTCTTTGAGCAATCATGTCAAGGGATGAATGAACTATTTTGGCATAATGTGAATTTTTGTACTACTCCAAAGAGCCTTAAGTACATACACGAGAAGTTGAAATATTAGCCTAAGAAATGTATAAAAATAAAGATAAAAATGATTAACAAAAACATGAATAGCTTGATTAATTGTATGTTGTTCAAAATTTACAAAGTGTGGAATTTTTAGACAGAACGATGCTATTAATCATATGATTTGAGAATGTTTGAAAACTTAGTTATTACACTAATACCTTAGATTTTTTGAACTAGGATACGATTCCAACGTGTAGATTTGGGTCACAATACTTGGCTTTTGAAAAGTTTTTCCTTATTAATTTAAAGTGACAGTCCGACATAATTTATACTCGTGTACATGTATGATTGGTTGGGAAACAATGATTTTGGACACCAAAAAGATAAAAAGACAATAAAAAGACAATAAAAAGACAACTACATTCTGAGTTGGATAACCCTCATTCGGTCATTTTGAAGAAAACATTGGAATTCTGGTTTGTGTTGACTTTATAATAAACATTTGTTGGTTTGATCATGATTATTAGTCGAGCTGATTCAGGTTACCGAGTTGAAACATTCGAGATGCAATTTGCATTTTCAATACGGAAGACAGTTCGTTTCGCGGTTTAATTGGTTTTCTCTGCTTATCCCTTCAAGGCCATATTCACTGATATAATTATCGGGTACGCATTAATTTGCAAAAGGATTTGTTTGAACTCAGCAGTTACGTCGGATTTAGATCGTGCATGATTAATTTTCGAATTCGGAGTTGGAACGTCACAGCTTAATCGAATAATTTTCATTGGATAAATTTAATTAAATGAATTTATTTGGTTGAGTGTAATCGGATGAATTATCCGGAGAAATTTGATCGGAGAAATAATTTCAGTTTAAAATAAAGAATTGAATTTATTTATTTGAATTCTAGTTTTTATTACGAGGATGAGAACAATTACAAAATTAAATCCTAAGTGTCCTAAAATCCCTATTTTCTTTTCTAAGTTGTCTCCGTGTCCATCTTCAATCCTCGACTTTTTTGGACCTGCAAGAATCGACAACAGAGAAAATAATTTAAATGGTTAGAATCAATAAAAATGGTTTTTGATCGGTTCCGATACCCTCATTTAATTATCATCATCGGGTACGTCAGGAGGGTAACGGAATATTCCGCCGCCAGCTCCCGACTTATTTTTTCCGACCTTGACACAAGTCTGGTAATATCTGTTCGAATTATTCTGAGAGAGAGAAAAGTGAGTTTGAAAAGTGATTTTTGAAAAGTGATTTTTGAAAAGTGATTTTTGAAAAGTGATTTTGGAAAAAACACTTTTCCAAAAAAATGTGTTTTGTCAAACAAGGCATAAACATAGTTTCCCAGAAATTTCTGAACCCAATGGATCAAGCCACCCATCCAACAACGTTTCTGCGGCAACAATAAGCAACAAGATTTCCTCAAAATAATCCAACAATACAGCCGCAAAACCATGAGAAACGCAACAAATTTCCTCAACAACAACCAAATCATCATCAACATAACAAATTCCAACAACAGCCAACAATCATTCAAGAAATTGCAAAATCCTAGGCCACCAATATCGCAACCTAACGGCAAAAGCTCCTGAAAAATTGTAAGAACCGGTAGCAACTTCGCAACAAATGTATCGCCCATGCCCATCAAGAACTAATATAAAACATCATCAATTCTTCAAATAAGAAAAGCAGGGAAGAACAGGGGGATCATCATCAAAAGATCAGAAAGAGTTTTAAGGCGTCATCACCATCAGTCACGCGAGGACTCATCCTCAACAAGAAGAAGAACCTCCTCAGTGAATCATCATCGGAATTCAAAGAAAAACCCAGATCCTTATCATCAGAGGAAGAGAAAAAACCATAAGAGGAAGCGGGTCACGAAAATCAGCGAAACCAGAAGCAAGAAGAAGACGAACATCATAGCCACCACGTAGAGTCTCCTCAAACCTGCAAGGGTGAGCCACTATTTTCATGATTGTTTGCTTTTTGTTTCAGTGATCATGGCGGACAAGACTGTTGGAGAAGGAGAAGAAGATTTCAGACGGAAGAGAAGAATGAAAGAGCCGCCGCCGTGTGCGAGGAAGAAGGTGATGGGAGAAGCCCCAAAGGGGTCTGCACCGCAAGAGGAAGGGGAATGGGTTTACAAAACCCTAACTGACCATTTGACTCTCCCCTTTTTATTTTTGCTGTTATTTTTCATTTTTTATATTTTTTTATTTATTTAATTTAGATAATTTTTCTATTTACCTTTTTTAGAATTAAAATCACTTTTAAAACTTAATTAAAAATTTTAAGAAAAACATTTCACTAAAACTTATTGTTAACACTTAATTGGAATTATTTCCTAAAACTTAATTTTTAAATAAAAAAACTTAAAACTTAAAACTATTTTTCAAAATTCACATTGACACTTGTTTTAAAAAATGAATCAAAACCACTTTTTTCAAAATTTAAAACTAAACCCACTTTTTAAAATTAAAATTAGAACCTTTTAATTTAGAATTAAAACTATTTAGAATTAATTTTGCCCGTTTATTGCCTCGTTAATTTTGTATAACGCTTATGTCGTTCTTTTCATGATTCTCATTTGTACGATTACTAACCCTTTATTTCTTCGTATTTCATTTTTCACGATTGTAATTTATGCGAGGACATCGTCGCTTTTATTTCGTTATTATTCTTGCATTTTTCAAGGTTGTAATTTATGCAAGGCAATCATCGCTTTTGTTCCGTTATCATTCTCGCACCTTCTCATACTTCAATTCCATTGCTTAATTAATTTTGCATTACATTACTTACCGTTAAATCCCTTCCGAAGGAATAGGTCTAGTCGTTTTACCGCCGCGTCAATAGTCCTTACCTTTGAACATTTCCCTTTCCAAAACCCTAATTGCATAGGTGTCCCGCCGTGGACAGTTTTAACCTTTATCCTAGCATTAGAATAAGGAGTCGCCGCACTCCGTATTAGGTTTCATACCGTGGAATACCTAT